TTTGTACTAAGAATGATGTTTATTAAAAATCAGGTGAGCAATTGTACCATGATTTATTATTGACATTATTCATTGTGTTTGTTTCATTTTAATGATCAGTTTTCATCAAAGAGAATTATATAGATTTCTTATGTAAATGTATGGGAAATGTGTAAATTCTTTAACCAGCAATTTGGGTTTCAAGAAAAACAGAAATATATAAGCAGTTTTCTTAACTAAAATTAGTACAGAAAAATTACAATGCTGATTATTAAAGTTATTGTTTTCCTGAAAAAGAGGCTCATCAATATTAGCTACTTTATATCTGCACTTTTCTGGCAACCCATGTATAATAACTCCTAAGTAAAGGACAGATACTGAATTAGGGTTAAAAGCATTTCATTCGATTGCTTATACTATAATTACACACAGAAAGCATATATCCATTTTCCTTTTCTAATTTCACACTCCTTTGCTTAGTTGCCTAAACGTATTTAAGTAGGATATCTTCCTTGTAGATGTTTATGGAAATGTCTGCCTGTTAGATACAATATGGCTAAACGGTGACTGTGCTGAAATTATTCTCATGAGCGGTAGTGGACTCCAGGCAAAATAGGAACCATGCTATTATGGAAAGCTTACTTTGATGTCATAGTATTTGTGGTCAGAGGCTATGATTCTTCTGGAAGATAGAAGGTGCACTCAATGGATAACATTTCTGTTAACAACATTTCCGTTAACAACAAACATTCTGTGAGCCTGATTCACTGATTTGCTGTTTTATTTCTGATGTTGATTAATTGTGCATTATTTGCTAAGGATGAAACACTGAAAGACAGAGTTCTAAATAAATTGCTGAACCAACTAAAAATACAAAAACTCACAAAATTCATATGGCTTCTGACAATTGCCATTTGTCACTGATACAAAAATTATTCTGCAAGGCTGACCAGCATGTGAATCTTTTACTATTCAAGCTAGTTTCTTCTTGCCGCTTCCCTCAAGGAAGTCATGCACTGCCTCTCTTTGCTGCAAGGCTCCGATAACAAGCTTGTGGCTTTCCCTTTCGGCCCTCTAACAGTGCAGCTACTTCAGCTCTAATAAGGTAATTGCCCTGACCTCTTTCGCATTAACAATCTACTTGACTTCCCTGCCTTAGATATTGAAATAGTTAACCTTTTGCTGCATAACTCCCATTCCCATCGATTGACTTCTCACACACACAGCTAGAGGAGAAAATACCCCTTTTGCCAATATAAATATACAAAAGTTAATTTCATGATCAATCTCTCTGGCACCATTTCCCAGTGTCACATGGGAGTTGGGAGACTGGGACTATAAAAGTGTGTACCAAAAGACCTATAAGGACAGTCACAAGTCATGATGAATAGCCTTTCCCCCCACTGTCGGTCATGGTTGAATGGAATAATAGCTCCCCTACAGTAAAATACAAAGGTACATTGCCTTTGTATTTTACTGTAATTCTTTCATCCAGTCATAATTTTTGAGGAATCTCACCTGCAATGGCCACCACTTGCAATAGTCATAATAAGAGATACAATAAGAGACCCAAGTGACTCTCCCTCAGTGGCATTTTGGAGGGCCTTAAAGATCTGGCTCTTCACCCATGCCTTTGCTAAGATGGGTATAGCCCCTTCTGAGAAGTGGGTGTGTGTTTTCTTGCTGCCCGATGTTGCCCTCCTTGCTTTCTGGGTTACATTATGTTACTGCAACATTGTTTATAGTTTTATAGTTCTGTTTTCTTGTAAACCACCCAGAGTTGTTTGAGTCAGGCAATGCAAAAATTAATTAATTAAATAATTAAATAATTAATTAAAAGTTTTCTGTATAGAATTCAGACCTATTCAAATCAAATGGAGTGAGTCTCCAGCATTTCATATGGGGGTTGTCTTGCATGCTGCTTAAACACCTTGCTGCTGTTAGAACATCTCCTATGTCAGCCTTGGTATCTAAAGCATCATGAGGAAGCGTTATAAAGCATTATAATACATTTCTTTCCTGGTTACTGTTTGGGCTAATGCTCCCATCTTGATGTGTCTCCAGTAACAACTTTTAGCTCTTCCAAGTACATTCCAGTAATAATTTTGATCCTATTCATCCACCTTACATACAGTATTTCTTTTCCTTCTTCTACTTCCTTCACCCTTGTCAAGCATGCATACACACATACACACACACACACACACACACACACACACACCATGATCCACTCAGATCACTTACCCAAAGTATGTGACTTTTTCCTTGCTGACCATTCTCTCAAAAGATTGCTAAGGTTGATTGATCAATTCTTCTTACCATCCACAGCAGTCTTGATTGACTCTTCTTACAATCCACAGTAATAATCATATTCAAACCCATTATTTGAAGGGGTGTATCTGCTTTAACTATTTGCTATAACTATTCCTATCTTTTATGTCATAGAAATAGCTTCATCTTTCATCAGAATAAACTTCTTTACCCTTTCACTTCTTCACTGTCAACTGTAGAGTTACTAAGAATGCTGGTTGACTTTATCTTCTTAATAGATCACAGTAGACCAGATTTTCACTTTCTGTTTTTACTTTCATAATGAGCTCGTCTACAAAGTGCTGTTATCTTCATATCTCAGGTTAGGGTTTTAATCTCCCATTCTGATTCCAGTTATTATCTCTTCCAAGCCTGCCATTCTTATCATATATTTTCTGTGTGAGTTAAACAGCTATGGGGACAATATGCATGCTTGTCTTACTGTCTTTCCTATGTTGAACCATTCCATTTTTCCATATTCAGTTTGAACAGCTTCTGGTTCATTGTAAAGGTTCCTTAAAAGAATGAGGTGCTCTGGCACACCCACAGATTGGTTGATTGGTTGATTGATTGATTGATTGATTATGTACCATCAAGTCAGTGTCAGCTGTTAGCAACTACCTCAGTACAGTATCTCCAGAATAACTGTCTCTGACCTGGCCCTTCAGGTCTTCAAAAGGTTCACTCATTGCACATCATATTCAGGTTTAATATATTCCACATTCTGGCATGATCTTTACAATTAAGGGTTAGTGATAGTCAATGAAACATAGGCAAAACTTCTTATATTCTCTGGGCTTTTCCATTATCATTCTTATGTTATCTATCTTATTTTAAACTATTGCTTGTCATATCTCATTTTCTAGTAGAGTAGGGTCTGAACATTCTTTCTGCAGATGTTTTTGTCATTCTATAATCCTGATAGTAAAGAATTTCAGTATAGTTTTTCTACCTTCCTCTTTTGCCTGTGCTAGATTTCTTCCATGATTACTCTTACTCATGGAAGAAATTTAGTTCTAAATTTTCTTGTGGTTGCTTTATCTTTTTAAAAACATATTTCATTTTCCTGTTCTTGTTATTTTCCACTATGTTGATCTTCTCAGTTAAGATATCTTTCTTGATTGACACTGGAAGTCTGTGTTCTGTAGTGTCACATCCTTTTTGTTGACCAAAGCTTTCATTTTTGGTTGGTCTTTGATTGTCATGATAGCATACTCTGAAAGTTACTTGGATCTTTTACTCTATGGATTTTTTTTTCTGCTTTAGTTTTCAGGATGTCTCTTATCTCTTTTCATAGCTCATCAAGTTCTCTTTCACATAAATGAAGCATACTGAACTATTATTTACCTTGCTGTTATATCCTGACTCTATCTTCTCCATGTCAGATCAGATATTGGCAATAAATGAAGAATTCTCTTCAGAAAACTTTTATTATATATCTCCTGCATGATTGTATTTATCCAATTCAAATCATTCCAGATTCCAGATTCCTTCATTTCTTCTATTTTTGCATTCCAATCACCCATTAGTAGTTCTACATCCTTTCTTGATTTTGCATTTAGCATCTCTTGCATTTTTTTTTGAAGCAATCTCTTCCATTGCTGCACCTTGAATACTACCTACTAGATATGGATTAATTCTAAAATATATGACCTTGTCATTTATAGAGTTATAGTCAAACATATATTTAGCATTTTTTTAAAAATGTATCATTGCCACTCAGGTCCTTTCTTTGTTCCCCTGCCTTGAGTAATGTATCATGTGAACCTGCCCATTCTGGTCCATCTAAATTTACTTATTCCTAAAACACCCAATTTAATGTGCTTCTTTTCCTTTGTGTCAAGCCATGCTTTACTTTGCTTCCTTTTTAAAAAAAAACTCCTTTTTCAGTACTGACCCAACCAAGGACCAGAGTTCTTGTGCTTTTGGTCTGACCAACTCATCACTTCCAGTTCTATTCATGAAAGTTCAACATTCATGCCTACATAATTAGAGAAGTGTTTTCTGATACGTATGTTTCATCATCTATCACCCAAACTTACCTAGCTGTTTTAGCTATGTCCATACAATTCCATTGGCAACAATACACAAATGATTTACCAATTCCTTTTAATGGGTTTGATTCTGGAATTACTTCTCCTATGGTCAATTGGCTTTCTTCACACTTAAAGTTCTTGGTCCCCTCATCCCCATTGTGGATTACTCTTAGCTTCCCTGTCCACATTCAACTTTAATAGTGACCCTTGTGGTAGCTTATGTTCCTGCCTGTATTGGTCCTGGAGCCATGGGTCACTTCACCATGTCAAGGTGGTAAATCCCTTTGAAGGCTAAAGGTTGACTGTTAGAAATAGAAATATATTTTGTCTAAATGAATCTAGGGAGAGAGAAATAATCACAGGGTGGCATTAGAGGAAAGTTAAAGAAAGCAAATGCATAGATTAGGCAGTCACAAATCTCATATTGCCACTATTTAGACATCAAACACTTGTGGTAAACTGGTTACCTGTTTCTGAGAAACAATGGCTTTAATGCTGTTTATATATGGCAGTGGACCTTTTTAGTGGAAAAGGGAAACTTTATAAGCAATTTAAATGGGGTTCCTTTTATGCTGAAGGGTTTTTTAAATACATTATATAATTAAGAGTAAATTTCTTGCAGAATAAAAATTAGTAGACAAATCAATTATTTATACTATTTAACTTTCTGCTTAGGAATAATTTTACCTCCAAAAAGCAAACTGGATATTCCAGTATTATTTGCCCCTCTTTCCATGAAACTCTATGAAACCGTTCTTCTTGTTGAAGTTAAGAAGATAAATGAAGAAATCTGGACTTATGATGACACATTTGAATTAAGTGAAGCGCTAAACAGGTATATGTTTTAATCACTAGACATCCAAAACTAATATTGATTGAAATTGGAAATTATTATGTGGATTTACTTTATTTTTTTTTAATAACTGATATAGAATATTTCACATTGCTATACATTTGCTATTATTAGCTTTTTATTGAGCATAGGACATCTTAAGAGTTTCATACTTTAAAAACTTTAAAGAATTCTGTACTGCCTGAAAGTATTAAACTGTAAAAGAATGATGAAGCCACCTTTAGTTGTATCATCACACAACTCTTTCATAAGATTTGTCAGCTACCCGAGAGGGTATGGATACTTTTCAGCCACTAAACTCAGTGGAATGCTGGTTATATAAGATGAGCCAAGTTGCTATCTTTGCTGATTAAAGCTGCTATAGCATGCCTGATCTAATGATTGAGGGAGTCAGTATAAATAATGTGATATTTGTAGCTATAAAAGAGGCTATAATGAGGTATGTCATCAACATATGTGTTGTTATTTCCTTTCTATTTTGACATTACATTAAGTGTTTGTACCAAAGCCACTTTAATTGCTTTGGTGGATGGCATACACTACGAAATGGAATCAGCCTTAGTACATGGCATAATTTTCTAAGAAGTAGGTTTTTAAATTAGATACTGTATGAGATATATTATTCGTACAAAGAATTTCAAACAAGTTTTTAATGGCTAGATGAGGTCACCAAGTAATGTTTGTACAGTATTAGTTTTTCAAAGCAATAATATTAATATTTATATTGCTGATATTTCTTAGCCAAACTGTAATAGTAAAGGATGAAAAACTTCATGGACTCCGCTGGATCTACCCAATTTATGGAATACCGGAAGCCCCTCCCTATGAATCATCTCCAGGTACCTATGAGCAATGAAATACAAATTGCGTAGACTAAAATGAAAACATTCTCCAGCTTTGATTCAGGCTAAAAATAAATGGAATAGTAGATCTAGTGAACTTAGCATAAATATTCAAATAACCAAGTAAATTACTATTGGTATTATAATCAATCAGTTCCTTCTTCTTGTGGTATATTAAAAGAAATGTGTATTAGTGTCAGATGTGCATACCCTATTAGATATGTAATAGGGCTTGACAAACTGCTATTGCCCTGGAAAACTGGAAAATAGGTCAGCATTTCCAAACCAATTCCATACAGACATTTTGCCTCTAACTTTTTCAGCAGTTTATTTTGCAGTAAATCCATCAGTAGATCCATACATTTATAATTCATCCACCACTGACAACATTCAGGAAGTTATCTTATCAGCTTTAGTCTGGATTGGATCTATTTTTAGGAATGGAGCTCTGGATCACCCTTCCACAGAAAGCCTATTTCTGTTCATTCTATCCCTAACCATCAACAGGAAGATTTATATAGCTATTCCTTAAAACAGGTTATTGTATTTACATGGATTGGGAGGAGGCTGAAGTAACTTATATATTCATGTGTCTTTTCATATAATTTCTATTGCTGAAATTTCTAGTAAGAAGGAGATGTCAAAAGGTGAACTTGTGAGTTACATTATTATAATATTTTATTAAGAGGAGTGAAAGGAATTATTATAATGAATAGGAATAAATTTTTTTCAATCAATTTTATATTTGAACCACAAATAGCAGTACTGGACTTTGTGTCACAGGTGCTATTCACAGTGAGAGAATAAAGCATCTTAATTTTCTGGATCTGTTCTTCCAATATCTATGATGAAAGTTTACTCCATATGTCTACAGAGCTATATACATCAGACACTTTTCACATAAGACATTTGCTATTAAGGTGACAACAAACATCAGTGAGTGATCAGAACTCCCTTATGTAGATTTTTACCACTAGTCCTAGTACACCAGCATTGTCTACCACTTAGGGGGCTTTCCCAGTATAGAACCTTCTTCACATAAATAATCAGTTGTGTCACTGAAATAGAAATATGTAAGAGGTTGTTGAACAGGCATTACTGTTTAGTACCTTGTAATCTCAAAGCAATTTTATAACAATATAGGAAAATGAGTGTAAGCAAACTCATTAACTGGTACCAGCTTGTTTTAAATAGGGAATATGATTCCATAATATTTCTTTTTCAGGTATACGCATTATTCCTTAGCAAAAACATAATTATGCAATTAATTTATTTTTACTTTCTTTAATGTTTTCAGTGGTGGGTGGGTGTGGTAACTATTAAGAACACTTGGAAACGGTCTATAAGCTAATTGCATTTGTAAAAACATACCATGTAGGCTGATAACTACAGTTCAAAATGTGCTTGTCAATTATATATCATTCATTTCATCAAAGAATAAAAACAATGGTTTTTGTGATCTTGGTTTGAGAAGGTAATTGAGGAACTGATTGTGAAATGAAATTAATGAAAGAGATATTATTTGTATTGTCATAGTTTTATGTTTAACTTGAGGAAGAAATGCCAGTGTGATCTTAATCACAGATTTCAACCCATTAATTTGCACTTTAATTCATTTAGGGTGGAACACAGAGCATTACCCAAATCATTTTCTTTCTCTCAGCATGACACTCTCATTAAGTACTATATCACCAAATATGTATAATGAATAGTTACACAATTTACATAAGTTGTGTGATGTATGGAAGGAAACTAATGCAAAATGTGATAACCTCTGTTTCCTGGGCCACATTCATGTGAGTGTTTTAAAAATATAGGTAGTGAATATGCATGTTACCATACATCTTTGTTCTGGTACATCACTTGCCCCACCATGCCAACCTTCCACATTAATTTAAGTAGCAGCCACTTTATCAGGCCTTAACAGAGGGAGATGTGATGCAGATTCACTCCATCTGCCCAGCTTGATCACTATTTAAACTATTAAACTAAGTTTTGTCCATGAACTTTCTGCTCTCCACCAATTCCCTTCTGCTTTTCTGTATTTTTTATTTTTTTTAGCTTTTAAATTTGTAGGCAGAAACTGTCTCCCCACCCCCAATTATATGTATATAAGTCCCTGGAGAAGCCACTTTTACTGAAAAGTGGGAAAAAATGATTTAAATATATAATGCAGCACTCCACTCAGAGAAGCAATGATGCATTCAGTACCTCCCATGCATAACAGTCATTGGAGAGTTTAATGTGCTAAATTTAATGTAATCAAAGAGTTGAAGCATAGCCAACACTGTCTTGGATCATGGCTGCCATTTCATTACCATACAGTGTCAATTCAATTCAAAGCTTCTATCTCAGTATGAAAATGCTGAACCAAGAATGTGGAATATTCTTTGGATATGCCATACAGCAACCATTAATTGCTTATTAAGATTATTGCTATTACATGCCATTTTAATTTTAGCATTTAAATTGGAGGGGGGAAAGCTCATTTTTTAAAGGAATTTTTATGGTTCTTTTGTGATTGACTTCATCACAAAAGATTATGCACAATGCCAATTATGCAACTGAAACTTTTTTTTACTGAATAGAGCTGACACAGAAATTTTTGAGACAAAAGGGAAGAATATATGACTCTGGGCAGCCTAAATGATTAAGAACAAGTTACAAGCATCATAACAAAATAATAACATATATAGTGGCCAAGACAAAAACCAACCAACACAATTGACATAACCATGATACAGGCTCAAACCAGGACCCCAGGCTTGGTAACAAAACCAGGTCTTGAAGGCCTTAAGGAAAGCCAGTGGGGTCAGGGCAAGTCTGATTTCCAGGGCAATGATGTTCCAGGGGGCAAGATCAGAAGCCAAGGGCCTGAGACAGACTAGTCTATTGCAGTAACAATATAGAGGTGTCAGCTACTACTACTAGTCAGAAACAAATGGCTCTCAGTCAACTATGATGTTGTTGGGGTGGGAAAGGAACAGGAGCTTTACACACACACACACACACACACACGCACATATACAGAGTGTAATTCTAAAAACTAAAGTATTGTTTATTTTTACAGTGCTATCCAAGAAAATAATTTGGGCTTATTTCTACTGTGCAGGGGCTTTATCTTCACAAACTACTATATATTTATATACATACATTTATATACAAAGCTTATTACAGTGTATTAACTGTCTCATTCCATTATTCAAACAAGTGTTAATTTAATTCCTGCTTTGTTAATATTTCACTTTGAGCTTGCTGTTAGCCTTATATAAATTAGAGAGGAGGAGGGAAAGAAGAATAACTCATTCATGAGCCTCTTCTCACATCTTTCCTCACTGAATTTTGGTCTGTGTTTTCTAAATGTTTTCTTCACTGCTTTGGATTTTTATTGTGAGCCGCCCAGAGTCACCCTCTGGGGAGATGGGCGGCATAATGAATGAATGAATGAATGAATGAATGAATGAATGAATGAATGAATGAATGAAGCTTTTCACCAGCCAAACTGCTCCATAGATCTCCCTTTCTCATTCTGCTTGTTTTTCCTGGGTCCTCTATTACAGATTCCTACTTCCTTCAGGGACCCATTCTTCAACTCTTTACCTGCTTTACTCCAATGACTCTCGTCCTTGCACCTTAGCACACACAGTACCTCCAGTTCATATAGCCCAAAACAACTGTCCTTGTAGATATTTTCACCAAAAGGCATATGAAAAATAAATGAATAAATAAAAATCCTCAACCTTGGAACCAAATTACAAGTCAGTCTCAATCAGGACAGTTCACCCTACTATAAACATACAGACAGGAGAAAGAGACATAAGATTACACCTTGGATCTTCTGTATTGAATTTACACTGGGGTGATTTTCTTCATATTATCAGCTTTTCAAGTATCTTTTCAAGAGTTATGTTTTTGAATCTCTGCCTATAAGCCTTCTAATTGCAGTATCAGTCTAGGGGAAGCCTGACATAGCCTGAGATATTCACCCAGTATATTTGTTCAGTGAACATTCAATGAATGGAAGGAAGTTTGTGCTACTAAGGCATAAATCAATACTATCAACCTCAGTATGAGGGGAGGATTCTGAAGCAACATCTCTGCCTATCTAGTGTCTGGAGAGTATTATTTGGATTTCTTGTTCTTGTTCATTTTTTTCTGACTCCTACTACTGTTTTGGCATAAAATGTGTTAAATTATACCTGTCTTTCAAATGAATCTGATTCATAGTATCTTAAGGACTGGAATTTGCAGAAGGAACTATTCTGAGAATGTACAAAACTGAAGCTTTTTCAACTTCTATATTCTTTCTTACCTGGATTAGTATAGCATTTGAAAGGGTGTATGCAGTTGTATTCATGAATACATTGGGATCAGGCCTTTCTTCTGTATCTTCTTTTTTAATTAAATAGGTGTTTCACAGCTTATTGGAGCTCTTACTGGATAATAGGAAATTCAGATATGGTCCCCAGACTGTATCTTTGAGAGTGATAGTCACAGATACTGCTTGGACTAAAATCTGCACTAAGTAGCCCATTGTGGATGAATATATATCTTGTAGATAGAGTATTACTACATGCTAATAGTCAGGAACTGAAGAGCAGTTTATAGCCCCAGACTAATTTGAATGAAGATTCATTCAAGATTCATTTTTTACATGAATGAATTGAAACTTATTTTGGTATATATTTCAGAGATGCATCAATGTCATTGTAAAGGTCCTATATTGTGATAGTACTGTGATGTTCACTTATGTAAGTATGAGAGGCACAGCCTTCAAATTAAGACTCTGACTGCTTTTGTAACAAGTGTCTTCTACATATTAGTGGCTCCTCATGTAAAATATGCTCTCAGTTGGAGTTACAGAAACTGAAAAATAATGTTACACATTTTTTTTCCCAGCTGTTGTATGCTGCCATGCCCGCAGTAGACTGGAGGAAAAGGTAGAAGTGCTGTTAACTGGTGTGGTTCCTGGGACAACTGGTTCACAAATACTCCGAGATACTGTAATGTTAACTCTTTCTAAGAGCAAGTCATCCCCAATTCATGATGAAGTTCAAGTCACAGATGGTAAGGAAAGAAAACAAAATATTTACTGGGTAAGGAAGTAAGTAATCCTATAGCTGTCTTAAAACTATATATATTTAAGAACATGTTTTGAATTTTGATGGGGTTGCAACAGCATCATCCAAAGATTCTACATTAAAGGTGATTCATTCCATATATCAAGTTCAGAACAGATTAATACTCATCATTCCAATTATAGTGTATAAGGATAGATAGGATATTCTTTGCTGGAATACACTGATAAAACATAATGTGCCTCATGGGATCTAAATGAATCAGTCAGTATAGTCATGAGGAAGTGGAATGAATACATAAATCTCTAGTTGCTAGCTATTCTGATTGAGGATTTAATCATCATTTAGGCTTTGAATTTTAAGCAAAAGCATTCTGCCTAATAGACTATCCACCCAATAGTCTGTTTTGCTCATTGACCTATCCTGATGTGTCCCATCTGTTATAGTTCAGAGGGAAGGAGACAAACCCCATTATTGTAAGAGTGGTCCTTAAGACCTCAGAATATACTTGGTAATATGTCTTTTAAACAGTAAAGGTTAAGCATGTTCTCATTTTGAACTCTCTGATTGTTTTGCCTTTTGAACTATAAATATTGTCATGTGAGTTTATATGCTACCCAAAGGTTTTAATCATTGTATTTTTTTTTAATCGTATCAAATACTATTCAGTGTTTCAGATTTCATTTCAGAAGGGTGCTTTGAATGCACAAGAATGCAAATATGGCAGTCTGCATCTTTATTTATTTATTTCATTTATTTAGCTGCCCATCTCACATACGTGACTCTACAACATGGTTGATAGAGTCACATATGTGAGATGGGCAGCTAAATAAAGCAACTAAATAAATAGACACAGCTGCTTTAAAGAGTTGCAGATAGGTGCTACATTTGTGACCATGTAGTCTGTGAATCATTTTTTGGGATTGAATCCAAAGTATTACATAGCCCTGTTATATAATAGCAGCAGAAAACCGGCTTTGGGTTTAAAAATATATAATAGAAGAAAATATAAATAGAATTCCATCTAATTTTCTATTAACAATATTTATCAAATAACCGTCATAGTATTTTGTAATAGCCTGACTGTAGCTATGCATGTCTTGTTTTTTTTGAATTTTTTTGAATTGCAAGATACTGATTTGGAATAATACAGTTTTACAGGCAAATAATGTAATGAGAAAGTGTTTTAACATTAAAAATTATGTGACATATTTCTGACTTCTGTCAATGACTTAAATGTTATTATTTCTATTTAATGTAGTAGAATATAGAATATAGCAGTAAATCAGGTTTATTGATATTTTTAATAGGGAGGATTGGATTGTCAACTTTGGCAGGGCCATTTTCAAGGCTGGTACTTTTCAATAGGTTTAAAAAAAAAATAGAAACATTCCAAAAAAAATGTACATCTTAGGCAACATTTTTACCAAGATGAATCACATTTGATTTCATCCCTTGGAATTTCTATAAGTTTCTTTTTATTTAGATGCAGATAGAGGAACCTAGTGCTTAGTAAGAACATATAATTGCAACAGGAAACAAAGGAGTAGAAGATCCGGATATGTCTGTTCCACAATAATAAGAGTGGTTTTGGCTTTCTACTTAGAATTTTGATAGATTATGAAAGTGCCTAAGCCAACATTCTTTGTCTTTTTGAAACTCTTGTAAGTATATTCTTTTTACTTGCTGCATTTGTACAAATAATCACCAAAATCCATGTCTCATGAGATCGTATGAGAAGAAGCACTAAGATTTACAAAGAATGCTGGATGCCTCCTTTTTGAGTCCCAGATTAGTTTCCAAAGGTGACAAAGCATTCCTTAATATTTCTTTTAGTTTTTGGGAAATATTATAGCCACTGGAAGAAATTGCTGAAATGCAATATATTTATGGATAAGTGGTTTTTGAGAAGCAAATAATGGAATATCAATTTTTCCGACTAATGTACGTACGTACACCCAAATTACAGCAACTGACAAGAACACAACCCGGAGTGAGAGTAATGCTAGCGCTGCTGCACAAGAGAATTTATCTAAATGAAACAGCAGCAACCAGCAGTCTTTGCAACTTCTCTTTCTCTGTCACATGGTTTGCTTAACAACCATTTTGCCAGAACCAATTGCAGTTGCTAAACGAGGACTACATGTACTGACAAGGCATGAATCAAAGCATTCAGAGAAAGAGCTAGCACAATATGGGAGATAATTTTATTTTTGTTTAGTTTTGAAAATATCTCTGTTCATTTTTTTAATGTAAAGCATACAGTTTGTGAGAAAATAGTTAAATATATTGTTTGGTCTACTCTAATGCTCAGAACCTGTAGCAAAATTTGTTCTACAGAGATAGAAAAAAAAAAAAATCTTGATAATTCCTGAAAGATAGTTCCACCAAAATTCTGATCTAGTACTTAAAGTATTATATGAACAAAAGAGTGTTCACTGAGTGTGAGCTTACCTGAATTTAAGTGCAGTAAAACTGGATGAGGTACTAGAATTTAATGCACATTTTAAATGCTGACATTTTAAATTCTTTATGTAAGAAAATATTTTAAAAGATTATACATTATTTCATTAGGAAATTTCAGAGCTGGGGTTATGGAACTTTTTATACAGCTGACAAATATCAGAATAATTTAGAATCAATTTGAAAAAGGTAGCATCTTTTCAGTAGTTTAGGTAGCCTTTAAAATAATAATCTAGATATTCCTGTTGAAGGTTATATTGTTTCATTTTTCTCCATCACCAGTTACATAAATGAAGACCAAGTATTAGATTTTAAGGCAGTTTTAAACTTTATAAAACAAATTGTGATGAAAAAAACCCCAACCCCTTTGTTTGAATGTATTCAAAGTTCAAACTTTGAAACTTCAGGAAAAATATCTAAATGGTGGCATTTCAAATGTTAGAGTTAGTTCTCACGCTGATAAAAAGACTCACTCTTGCCAAAACAATGGACAGATATAAATTGGCTCACCTTCACAAAACCAGGAGAAAAACAGACAAGGGTTTTGCTCCCATAAATTGCTTATCTAAAATGTCTCATTTGAAAATGAAGTATTTGTGGGAATTGTTAAATTGTGAGCTTCTTTTTAATAAATATTATTAATCAGAGATCCTTGATTCTTGTTACTTGCATTAACTCGAGTCTTGGAGGAAGATCTAACAAATTCCAACAAGTCTTTACTCCCTCTACAAGGAGGCACCCTTGCTTTGAGTGCTTACACTTATATTGTGGCAACTGATTCTCTTGATTTGCTGTTGAATGTTGAACGGGTCCCCAGTACCTTACTCAAAGCTAAATGTCTAGTTGCCATGCACCAGAAAGAGCCAGATGGTGGTCCAAATACCACTGGCTACTTACTGGCTGTTGCACCACTTTCTGCACTGATCTGCTGGTTCCTTGCCTGATAAATGTGGTAGAAATTAAAAGCTTTTATTACTCAGTGTGGATCACAAATATCCTTGAGATATATCCTATACTTTTTTGTACAGTTCTTCCATTTTTCCACAGAACCACTTATTTATATTCCCTCCATTTCTTTGATTTTCTTAATACATCTTTTTTCCATACCATTCAGTTCTTATCCTTGGTTTTTTATTTTTTTATTTTTTTATTTAATAGACTTGTTCTGCTCCAGAACTGTGTGTTTAGTCTCTGTTGTTTCTGTCTCTGCTGCCTTTTGCTTTCTGCCTTTCTTCTGCTGTTTTCAACATAATATCCACAGGCAGCCATTTTGTTTCTTTTGCTTTATTGCATTTGAGGATATTTTTGTTTGCTTTCTTAAATGTCACGCATTTCATTTCAGGGTTTTACAGGTACTCTGTTTAGCAAATCTAATTAATTAATCCCATTCTTTACAATAACCAGATAATCATCAGATAATTCTTTGTATTGGTCAGATTATTTTTATGTGTTTTCTTTAACTAGTAATTTTGCAAGGAGTGATCCGAGCTTCAGTCAGCACCAGCTCTTGTTTTTGCTAAATAGGACTATTCCTTTTTGCTTGCAAAGTATATAGTCAAATTGATTTCAGTGTTGTCATCTAGTGATATTTGTTGTAGAGTCATCTTTTAGGTTGTTGAAAGAAGGAATATTTACTATAAATATTTAATTATTTTTGGCACAACTCTATTAGTCAGTCTACTGCTTTTTTTATATATATACTGAGGCAATTTTTCCTATTTTCCCAACTTACTTGCAATTTTAATACTCCAATATCCTATAATTAGTATGACATGTTTTTATGGTGCTGTATTGCTGTCAAATTGTTGCAAGTCACCATATAGTTACTCAATTTTGCTTTTTCTGCATATGTGGTTGGAGCATAGACTTAGGTCACTATAATATTGATAGGCTTGCCTTGGACTTGAATTTAAGTCTATCATTTTTTTGTACCTTAGTAGTGACTTTGACACTGGTTTGTTTATAATGATGGCTACTCCATTTCTGCTGCTATTCTTGTCTGGAATTGAAGCTCTGATGTAAAGTGATCCATTCCAGTCCATTTCAGTTCACTAGAATATCAGTGTTCAATCTTGAAATTTCTGTTCTGACAACATCAAGT